GCCCCAACATTTCTGATGGCAACCCTGATGCCAAGCATTGTGTATTATATCTCGATTTCCTTTCATCTCTGTGGTATGGTTATCTCTGTATTGTATTTAGCTCTGTGTATGTTATAGATATCTTTATAGTGTGCAAAGCTTGTTTTATAGTATGAATATAAATATTTTTTGCTCAGCTTTCTGTATCTCAGTACTGTATAGGGAGGAGTAAACTTCTGGGCAGTCCACCATCCTAAAACTTCACCAGCCGTCACTGACCAGTACAGCTTATGTTTATAATATTAGGAAGCTGGCACTGTAAAGCAGGGCTCGAAAAACCATTGTGACTAGGAATTTTGTCCTGGCACCTGGGTGTTTATCAGCCTTTCCAGCACACTGGTCATCTTAGACGACCCCCTGAGGCGTGTGGCTGACGGCTATGTGGAATGAAAGCGGGCGTTGAGGGAGCTGTAATCTTTCTCCTCTTCTTGCTTTGCTCTCTCATGCACCCTGCAGGAATGCCGGGAGCTGTAATATGACGTGACTCCGGCCCAGGCATCAATAATCAGCAGATGAGGGTGCAGAGCAACAAGAGCTTGAAGATTACAGGATCAGATCAGCTTTACTGGACTCAGGGAAAGGATCCACTCCAGGTCTCCCAAAGGTAGGGAGTCTGGGTGGAAATAAATGAAAGTAAAACAAATAATAATTTTGTGAGTGTGTGAGAGAATGTGTGTATGCTAGTGAGAGTGTGTTTGTGTTAGTCTGTGTGAGTCAGTGTGTTTCTGTCAGTGAGTGTGTCTGTTAAGGTGACTGCCCTCCCCAGCCATAGCATGTGAAAAGTGTTTTTAACCCCCCCCCCCTTTTTTAAATGGCATGCTGGTCCCACCACAGCTGGCCCAGCTCCACGACTGAGGATGCCGCTTACAAAAAAGTCCATTGTGCGCTGAGTGGGGTGTGATTGTCCGTTATCATTATTGCTCGACTAGGAGACCAATGTCAAAAGGTGAATGGGAACTGAGGCTTCATTTCAGGGCAAGTGTATGTGTTTTGTATGTGTGTCTGTAAAAGATTATGTGTATTTGTCAGTGAGAGTGTATGTGTATCTGTGTGTCAAGGTTTGTGTATGTGTCACCGTGTGTATCTGAGTGTGTGTGTATATGACACTGCGTGTACGTGTCAATGTGTGTATGTGCCAGTGTGTGTATCTGTGGGTGCAAGTGTGTGTATATGTTACTGTGTGTATTTGTGAGTCAAGATGTGTGTGTCTGTGTTTCAATGTGTGTGTGTCTGTGGGCCACTATGTACCGGTGTGTGTGTGTGTGTATCTGTGTGTCAGATACATACACACACAAATACACATTGACACAGAGATGCATACACTTGCACATACAAACACAGATATACATACCTTGACACACACCGGCACTTAGAAACACAGATACACACACTTTAACACATAGATACATACACACACACACACACACACACACAGATACACACTGTGTGTCAAGGTGTGTGTATCTGTGTCAGTGTGTGTATCTTTGTGCCAGTGTGTGTATCTGTGTGTCAGATTCATACACACTGGCACATACAAACACAGATACACAGAAACATACAAACACAGATAGATACATACATACATACACACACACACACACACAGACACACTGTGTCAAGGTGTGTGTATCTGTGTGCCACTATGCGCCAGTGTGTGTATCTGTGTGTCAGATACAAACCTATACACAGATACACATTGACACACAGATACACACACTGGCACATATAAACACAGATACACATACCTTCACACACAGACACACACCGGCACATACAAAAAACTGTGCAATTTTTTTTTTCTGAGTGTGGGGATACACTATGTCAAAGGGTTTCACAGGAAAAAATTAATAGGGAACCCCTGCTCTAAACAGATAGTACAAAAGGAAAAGACCAAATGAACAAGCCAAAAATAAAAAAGGGTAAGAAAAAATAAAAATAAATAAAAGAAAAAAACCCAAACAAAAGAAAAGAAAAAACACAGAAAAATGGTAACAACACAAATTTATTTTGATTCACACAACATACAGCTAGCTAGTCAGCGGCACCACTCTGTGCTTCCTGAAAGTGAAAACGCAGAAGCCGGATGCTGTCTGGTGGAAGTGGAATTGCCACTGGAGGCAAATATATGGTTAAACCGCTGGAGAACGGTTTGACCCCTTGAGATAAGAGTGCCTCCTGGCACCATAACAACTTCATTGCGATTAAGTTATTTTGGTGCCTGGAGAGACCCTGTTAGTGTTTACACTTATGAAAATTCATGATTGTGTAATAATGTGTAAATGTGTCATATGTGTCTAGTTAAGAATAAGCTGGTAATTTATTATTTTGAACATTTGTACTATCCCACAAAATCATGTTCCAACAGACTCAGCTGATTGTAGTGATGTTGGTATTCTGTAGCAAATGACAAATCCTAGATTCTCGACTTTTGAAAAGCTTTTTGGTAACATTTTGCTGCAGAGAAAAACAAATGACACAATTTAAAACTTGGAAATAAATTAGATAATGCCAAAACATGTTTTTGCAGTATTCTCACCCTTTCAATGGGAATACCTCTTACATCATATACCATTAGAAGTACCAAGTAATACCTGACTATATAAACTCCTATTTCAATGTTGTGCTGTTCTATTCTGTGTAAGTGCTGTTTTAGATAATGTTATGTGTTTCTATTTTGACTAATGACCTAAAGATATTGGATTGCGAAAATGATGCAGAACTATGCATTCGATCATAGTAGTGGTTATAGAATGTTATTACAGCCACACCAGTGTTTTCTCCTACAGTTTTAGTAAAACAATGTTAAAAATATACCAGGTTTCTTTCTTCGTCTGTTGTCATTAAGTAAATATAAATGGACATTGCTGTTCTGAGAACTACATCGCTATTCATTTCTCTGGCAATTGCGCTACAAGAAATTAATAATAGGCCAGAAAAAGTTATATGTTACTTGAATAGAAAAGTGAATACAAAGAGAAAAATTAAATAGAACACTGTAAGGAGTAATAAAGTTAAAGAACCTTCATGAACATACACTGGGCCTATTACATTGATATTAGGCCTTTAACTCCTTAAGGACCAAACTTCTGGAATAAAAGGGAATCATGACATGTCACACATGTCATGTGTCCTTAAGGGGTTAAACTGATACAAAAAAGCAGCTGTACCAGAAAAACATTTTATTTAGGGAACATTAAAAAACCAAAACGTTGAAACCCAGTACTCCCCAGTGGCATTAATTGAGAACATGTGAATTCCCTGTAATGACCCATCTATATTGTTTTTGTGAAAACAGATTAAAGATAGGCTTACAGGGTGGCAGATTTTGGCCGCAGATCAAATTTTATGGAGCACCATTTTATGGAGATTAGCAACCTTTTGCAGAAGAGTTTTTTTAACTAACGTGTTTAACACAATATTTAACTGTAGCTAGTCCTACCTGCCTGACCACTGCATTCTCTATCTACCTGACAGACGTACAATACTTCAAAATCAGGGATTGGATGTAGATCCTGCAAATTGAGGGCTATTTCAGATGTAGGCACAAGAGACATAGAGGACATGCATAGGTGGCTGGTACCTTTTGGTCTTAGAGGAAAGCACAGTGGGATTGGCAGACCTGACACAAGCTGTTATGGATCATAAGCAAAGCTTCTCTGAAGAGGATGAAGACACCCCTTCCACAAAGAAGGTTGGAAAGTACCTGCTAAAACACATAAAAAAAAAAAAAAGTGAAAGAAAAAATTCACACCTTAATGGAGCTAAAGCTACTGAAGATGATATGCTGTTCTTCAACAAAGTGTGGCCTCCACTACTGAGTCTGTTCAGCAACTGCTGGATAAAAGGGGCAGAAGAATAAAACATCACAATATCAGATATGGCCAACACTTTTGGCATGGAGAAACACCCACATTTCCTCCCTCATCTCATTACTTTATATTAACTCCTAAACATCCCCAAGTCCTTGATTCTGCATGGGGTGTATAGCCACAACAAATATTCTCTGGCACCTTCAACAGATGTTATTGACCCCTGCCAAACATACAGTGAAGTATCCTGTGTTGTGGTGGCATTGAATGACAATTTTCCACGTCACTTTGAATCTCAAAAATTATCCATCTACCAAGATGTAGAAAGTTCAGTCACTGGGCCCAGTTACCAAACTTTTAAGGGTTGTTGATCTGGAATACAGATGGGGTTCGACTGTTTGTCTACAGGTTCAGAAGGATGGTAAATGCTACAGGCTTACAACATCCACAGATATGCAGATTTTACTGTTGGCCCAGGGTCTCCATCTCCCTTTCCATACCAGCAGATGGAACTCTCTCTATGCACAACTGGGACATCCCTTATGTGGTAGATTCATCCTCAGGGGCAATGATGGCACCAGCTGATGAAGCTGTTCTCTGTTGTACAAAGGGTTCAGAATAGTGCACTACATTATTATATTAAGGCTACTTGTTAATTGTTTGATTCCTGTGATTTTTTTTTTTATTATTTTTTTTTCTGGTATGTAACGTTTTTTTTCCTGTTTGTTTTTTGCACCTATTTAACCTAAACATCCTGGGGAAAAAAAGACCTGCAGGGACTGATATATACCCCGCCTCTAATTTCTTTTTTTTTTTTTTTTCTTCAATACATGGGAGCGTTTTTTTGTTTTTTTAAACTGTTTAGTATTGTTTAAAGCTGGAGCGTTACATTCATGGAGTGACAATCCCTTGCCCCTTACCAAAGTAAACACTATTGAAATGCTAACTGGAGTAAGTTGTGCAGAAAGTAAAAAAACATAATTAACATCCCAGCACTTCTGCGTTCAGGATGACATCATCTTCCCATAATGCTCTGAGTACACTCATACACACTTGTGCATTCCTTCTATAGTGCAATGGCTTTGTGACAATATAATTTGCATGCTCAATGCCAAGACAGCTATGCATACACTGTCAAAAAAAGAAACTATAGAAAGTTATATTATTTATTAGGATGTGCATAAATCTCAGATGTGATAGTTCTGCTTTAACATGGCGTTGTTACGGCTCCATAGAGACTGCTTGCAGATGTAAATTGGCACTTTCCTATATATTTTCTTGCCATTGTATAACCTCTGGGCTTAATAGTAAATAGTACAGATCTTCCTTTTTATGGCATTTTTTTTTCTTTTTTTGAGTAATGCTGTTTCTTTTCTTTTTTTCTCATACCATTTGGCAAATCTACCTGCAAGCATGTAAAAAATGATAAAAATTAAATAATGCTTCAACTATACATATGCCAGCATTGTATATACAATTTTAATTCCTTTTAAGTTGATGCCAAGTCATAATTGGCATGATGGCTGCCCTCTGTTCAGTACAGAAATTATAAAACAAAAAAATTAAGTGTTTGTTGTTTGTGTGTATGAAGAACAATTTTGGGGCAAAGTTCTAAAACTGTAGTAGTCACCATGGAAACAAGTAATATAATATTTCTGCTCTTTGCTCCCTGTTAGTGTCCTCTAATATTGTATTAAAAACACAAACACAAAACCCTGTTTAAAAGCAACCTGCTGTGGGACAAGAGAATTCCTAGAAATAGACTGCAGTATTCAGGTTATTGCGAATTGTAAATGTATCCGTCCAAGAGGAATTATTTGAGTCAACTACCAATGAAGATGACCTCTCCTTCTTGTGTTCAAGTGCAATAAACAATACACAAGATCCAGCGCACTCTCCTATCTACTAAATAGCAACTTCAATGTTGACAGATTTTATTTGTTTTTTTTTCTTTCTATTGTATAATATAGCCCCAGCAGCAACCCATTTAAGCATGTTCAGGTGAGTGCAACCACCCCCCCTTGTGTTCAAGTGCCTGGTGTTGAAGCTGAAGGTTGTTAAAATTACCTAAAGGTCTCCTTTGCAAGTGATGCCCTTTGTTCTCCAGCTCCTGGCTCTTCATTCAAGTATGATTGAGAGTACATGAACTATCCTGCAAGACCACATCCTGGCTGTGGGATTTGACAGATGTTGATATCAGAAGCTCTGCCTTTTGTCAGCTTGGACATTGTCCATAAGACAAAGCAGTCCCTCTTTTGTACTCTGATCTCGTTTGATTGTACCAGAATTTCAAAGAAATTCCAATGGAATCAATGTGATTATTAAAGGGACACTATAGTCACCTGAACAACTTCAGCTTAATGAGGTTGTTCAGGTGAGAACTATAGCTCCCTGCAGCCTTTCTCATGTAAACACTGTATTTTCTGGGAAAATACAGTGTTTACATTGAAAGCTAGGAACACCTCGAGTTGCAGTCACTCAGAGTGAACCAAAGGGACTTCGGAGTTGATGGAGGCATCCTCTGCTGTCAGCAGAGCACAGGGCAGCACTGTGCACAGCATCCTGTGATTCAGTATCTCCTCCCTCTGCATGCAGACACTGATTCATTGATTCAGTTCATCTCTATGAGGAGATGCTGATTGGCCAGGGCTCTGTTTGAATCATGCTGGCTCTGCCTCTTTGTCAGTCTCAGCCAATCCTATGGGGAAGCATTGTGATTGGATCAGGCTACCACATGTCAGCAGACTGCTTGTTTTTCTAAGTCTAACAGCATGCAGATTTACAGCTTTTGGCTTGAATACAGTAACATTTTTAATATTTATGGAGGCATGAGGGGCCCAGGGGGCTAGATGGGTCAGGAATACATGTTTGTGTTCCTGACCCTATAGTGATCCTTTAAAACTACTCAGCTAGTGACAAGAGGTGGATGAGCCACTTTAATACAGAGGTCATTTAATATGTGGTTTCTTTTTTTGGTGAATATTCTTCGACTAGGTTCATGAAGGTATATGGGCGAAAAAGAGAAGGGAGATATAGGCCTCTGAAACTATTCTTCTGTGCCCCATCTCCTCTTTATAGTCCAATTCGTTACAAGAATATAAAACAAAGGATTTATCCCAAGTGATGGGAAGATTGTATCTTTATATAGGAAACTGGGGTAAAAATCTCCCTCTCTTTTCTAAATGTATTTTAAAGAAAATCCATTGAAAATAATGAGGGAAAAATGCTTTCCCTCAAAGTTTGTCTTGGTGGACAGTGTAGTGGTTACAAACGAGATTTATGAAATACATGTAAGTATTTTTTCACAAACAGATATTTCCCTCATTAAATATGATGAGTGAAACTGCTCTATAAGCTATCAGGCATACTATGGTAGCTATCATAGTTACATAGTTACATAGCTGAAAAGAGACTTGCGTCCAACAAGTTCAGCCTTCCTCACATATGTTTTTGCTGTTGATCCAAAAGAAGGCAAAAAAACAGTCTGTAGCGCTTCCAATTTTGCCACAAACTAGGAAAAAATTCCTTCTTGACCCCAAAATAGCAGTCAGATGTCTCCTTGGATCAAGCAGCTATTACCACACTAATTAGAAATTATATCCCACTATATTATGTTTTTGCAAGTATTTATCCAATTGTAGTTTAAACATCTGTAATGACTCTGACAAAACCACCTCTTCAGGCAGAGAATTCCATATTCTTATTGCTTTTACTGTAAAAAACCTTTTCTTTGCCTTAGGTGAAATCTCCTTTCTTCCAGCCTAAATGTGTGACCTTGTGTCCTATGTATAGCCCTGTTTATGAATAGATTTCCAGATAAAGGTTTGTACTGGCCCCGAATATATTTGTATAATGTTATCATATCCCCTCTCAGGCATCGTTTTTCCAAACTAAACAGATTTATTTCTTTAACCTTTCTTCATAACTAAAATGCTCCATTCCTTTTATTAATTTTGTAGCTCGTCTCAGGACTCTTTCTAGTGCCATGATATCTTTCTTTAGAACATGTGCCCAAAATTGCTCAGCATATTCAAGGTGTGGTCTTACCAGCGATTTATAAAAAGGCAAAATTATATTTTCCTCCCAAGAATTTATGCCCCTATTCAGGGCCGCCATCAGGGGGTGACAACCATGATGGTTGTCATGGGCCCGGCGGCCCTAGGGGGCCCGGCTATCCGGGCCCCACATGGGGCAGCAAAACTGCCGCAGGTGCATCTGCACCGGGGCCCATCAGGTGGCCAGAGCATTTAGGGCCACGCGATGGGCCCTATATCTTCAGGGACCCGGTCAGCGCTGCGGCCGTGTAATAGCGCGACCGGGCCCCTTTAAAAAATAAAAATAAATTGCGGCTACACCGCAAGTGCTGCTGGGAGGAAGTGACGGCTGGTCACTTCCTCCCAGCTTACTCCGCACGGGCGGAGAGTGGACCAGAGGGAGAGCGGAGGACAAGAGAGGCATCCACTCCCATCATCCCCAGCCACCCTCCTGCAACTTAAAGGTAAGAGGAGGGTGGCTGATAAATGAAGTGTGTGTGTGTATATGTATGTATCTGCATGTATGTCAGTATGTATGTGTCTATCTTTATGTGTGTGTATGTATGTGTGTGTCAGTATGTATGTCTGTGTGTATGTCAGTATGCATGTATGTCTGTGTAGGTCTGTGTGTGTGTGTATGTCAGTATGTATAAATGTCTGTGTGTATGTCTGTATCTATGTCTGTGTGTATGTCTGCGTGTATGTCAGTATGTATATATGTATGTATGTCAGTATGCATGTATGTCTGTATGTATGTCTGTGTATGTCTGTATGTATGTATGTCTGTGTGTGTGTTAGTATGCATGTATGTCTGTGTGTGTGTTAGAATGCATGTATGTCTGTGTATGTCAGTATGTATATATGTCTGTGTGTATGTCTGTATGTATGTCTGTATGTATGTCAGTATGCATGTCTGTATGTATGTCAGTATGCATGTATGTCTGTGTATGTATGTGTGTATGTCTGTATGTATGTGTCTCTCTGTATGTGTGTGTGTATGTCAGTATGTATATATGTCTGTGTATGTGTCTGCAAGTGTGTGTGCGTGTATGTCAGTATGTATGTCTGTGTTTGTATGTCAGTATGTATGTGTGTGTATGTCAGTATGTATGTATGTATGTCAGTATGTATGCATGTATGTCTGTGTGTGTGTATGTCAGTATGTCTGTATGTGTGTGTATGTATGTATATCAGAATGTATGTATGCCATTATGTATGTATGTCAGTATGTATTTATGTGTATGTATGTCAGTTTGTCAGTATGTATGTATGTCTGTATGTATGTATTTATGTCAGTATGTGTGTGTGTGTATCTGTATCTGTGTATGTGTCTATATGTGTGTATGTCTGTTTCAGTATTTGTGTCTGTTAGTATGTGTGAATCTTCCTGTGTGTGTGTCTGTGTGTGTGTATTCCTGTGGGCAGGATTTGGAGGCGTACACCCGGGGGCCCAGACCTTGAGCTATGTTAGGGGCGCCACAATTTCTGTTAGCGGCCCTGCCCCTATTTATACATGACAAAACCTTACTGGCCTTAGCAACTGCAGAGTGACATTGCATATTGCTGCCTAATTTGTTGTCTATAACAATTCCCAAATCCTTCTCGTGTGTGGTTATCCCTAATTCACAACCATTTAGGGTGTAAACTGCTCGTGCATTCTTAACCCCGAAGTGCATAACTTTGCATTTCTCTACGTTAAATTTCATCTGCCATTTTAGTGCCCAGTCCCCCAATCTATCCAAATCCCTCTGCAGCAAAGCAATATCCTGCTCACATTTTATTAATTAACAAAGTTTTGTGTCATCTGCAAACACTGATACATGGCTTTCAATGCCTATTTCAAGATCCTTTATAAATATGTTAAATAGAAGTGGTCCCAAAACAGAACCCTGAGGGACACCATTTACCACTTTTGTCCAGCCTGAAAATTTACCATTAATGACAACTCGTTGTACTCTATCCATAAGCCAATGTTCTACCCAAGAACAAGAATATTCATCTAGACCAATTTCTTTTAGTTTGAAGACTAACCTATTGTGAGGAACTGTATCAAATGCCTTGGCAAAGTCCAAGTAGATCACATCCACTGCAACACCCTGATCTATACTTCTACTTACTTCTTCGTAGAATGCAATTAGGTTAGTTTGACATGACCTATGTTTCATAAAACCATTCTGATTATTGCTAATAACAAAGTTCTTCCCAATGAATTCCTGAATATTATCCCTTACTAGCCCTTCAAATATTTTACCAGTTACAGAAGTTAAGCTCCCAGGTCTATAATTCCCAGGCAAGGATTTTGAACCCTTTTTAAATATAGGAACAACATCTGCCTTCCTCCAATCCTCCAGTACAATACCTGAAACAAAAGAATCTTGAAAAATTAAATACAGAGGTTCACTTATTTCCCCACTTAGCTCCTTAAGTACTCGTGGGTGAATACCATCAGGCCCCGGAGCTTTATTTACATTAATTTTCTTTAATAGCTGTAGCACCTTTTCTCGAGTTACCCAATCACAAGTTATCTGCAAGTTTTTTCAGCAATCCTTTGCATATCTCTTGCCATAGGATCCTCATTAATATATTCTGAAGAAAAATTGTTATTTAAAATTTCTGCTTTTTCCTGGTCTTCATTAGCTAATAAACCCAACTCTGTTTCCAGTGTACCTACACTTTCATTTTTTGTTTTTTTAGAATTGATGTACTAGAAAAAAATTTTGGGGCTGGTTTTGCATTCTTTGGCTATCAATTTCTCATTTTCTAGTTTAGCCACTTTAATTGCCTTTTTGCAAGCGTTATTGGCTTCCTTATATCTTAAATAGGTTGCCTCTGATTTGTCTGATTTAAATGCTTTAAATGCCCTTTTCTTATTTTTAATCTCTTGTTTTACTTCTCTACTAAGCCACATTGGTTTTAATTTGTTGCTTTTGTATTTATTACCCAATGGTACATACTGCGAAATGTACCTTTCTAATATTTGTTTGAATAGTTTCCATTTATCCTCAGTGTTTTTATCACTAAGGAGTTTATGCCAGTCGATATGTTGTAGAGCTGCCCTAATCTTATTGAAATTTGCTTTTTTAAAATGATATGTTTTAGTATACCCCACTTGCTTTTGCTTTTTTGAGTTTATTTAAAAAATTACCATATTGTGATCACTAGAGATGTCGCTAACTGTCCGCCGAACTGTTCGCGAACTGTCAGCCGGCGAACAATAGTGTGTTCGCGTTGGGCGAACATATACGATTTCCGGTCCGCCCCCTATACGTCATCATTGAGTAAACTTTGACCCGGAACCTCACAGCCAGCAGACACATTCCACCCAATCAGCAGCAGACCCTCCCTCCCAGGAAGTGTCTGCTGACTGTGAGGTTCCGGGTCAAAGTTTACTCAATGATGACGTATAGGGGGTGGACCGGAAATCGGATATGTTCACCCAACGCGAACACGCTATTGTTAGCCGGCGGACAGTTCGCGAACAGTTCGGCGGACAGTTCGCGACATCTCTAGTGATCACTATTTCCCAAATGCTCCCCTACTTGAATGTTGGTTAAAAGATCAACATTGTTTGTTATAACGAGATCCAGACAAGCATCCTTTCTAGTTGGTGCTTGTACCAGTTGTGACATAAAGGTGTCATTTAACACATTCAAAAACCTGATTACCCTTGCTGAAGTACTAGTCCCTCTATCCCAATTCATGTCCGGGTAATTAAAATCTCCAATAATTAACGTGTTTCCTTGATTTTCAGCTTTCCCAATTTGCTGTTCTTCCTCAATAATATTTACATTAGGTGGTTTATAACATATCCCAACCAATAATTGATTTCCCTTTGTTTGCCCCAAGCAGATATCTACCCATAAAGCTTCCACATTTTCCTCGTCACACTCCACATGCCTAAGATTTGACTTTAAAGGACTACCCTAGGCACCCAGACCACTTCAGCTTAATGAAGTGGTCTGGGTGCCAGGTCCAGCTAGGGTTAACCCATTTTTTTATAAACATAGCAGTTTCAGAGAAACTGCTATGTTTATAAATGGGTTAAGCCTTCCTCCAAAGCCTTCCTCAAAATCACAGTGAGAGCACGCAAGCGTCCATAGGAAAGCATTGTAAATGCTTTCCTATGAGACCGGCTGAATGCGCGCGCAGTTCTTGCCGCGCGTGCGCATTCAGCCGAATGGGCGGAGAGAAGGAGGAGAGCTCCCCGCCCGGCGCTGGAAAAAGGTAAGTTTTTACCCCTTTCCAGAGCCGGGCGGGAGGGGGACCCTGAGGGTGGGGGCACCCTCAGGGCACTATAGTGCCAGGAAAACGAGTATGTCTTCCTGGCACTATAGTGGTCCTTTAACTCATGGTTGACATATAAACATACCCCACCACCCTTCTTATTTTTCCTATCCTTCCTAAATAACATGTACCCATTTAAGTTAACTGCCCAGTCATGTGTCTCATCCTACCATGTTTCTGTTATGCCTATTATATCATATTGTTTAATGTATGCTATTGCCTCTAGTTCCCCCATTTTGTGATATAGGCTCCTTAGATTAGTAAGCATACATTTAATATCATCATGAGTCTTTTGTACTTTTTGTGAATTAGCAATATTACATACCTCCTCTGTTCTGTTCAGTTCAGTTTAGATATAGCCTGGTTCAGTGTTTAATGCAAAGTTTTAAGCAGATCTGGGGTCTAAACCTTGGCTCTCTCTCTTTTTGCTACATGAAAATTTGTATAAAATTGATACAGCCAGAATTGAACGTTTTTGTTTCTTCCAGGCTGGCTTGTTGACAGAAGCCAGATGTGAAATCACGTTTTGCCAAAAAAAGCTTAAAGATACAATCTAAATCCCAAAAAAAGCATTTTCACTAAAGCAGGTTTTCTTTTTTACTATCTGCTTTCTCGTTTTCTTTTTGACTTCCCAATGCCAGCATCAAAAAGCTAATTCAGTGAATGACCACCAGAAGTGACTCACCTACTCAGGTGTCTGATGTCACAATACCAGTCTCTCGACAGTACGATCAAAGAAATGATGTCACATCTGTGTTCTGAGGCACACCCACACATCCCTAACTTTCTGGCTCCTTACTATGATGTCATATATGACATGGAACGCTTCCATTGGTCTCTTTTTATAATGTCCGTCTATGTGGCACTCTAGTATCATCATTGCCCTTTGCAACCAATCATATGGTTTATACTTACTGGTTGTCCTTATTTCCTTGTCCTGTCATGCTTCTTGTTACCTGGGAGTGCATTTATACTATGTATTGGATTTACTCTTTTCTGACCTTGGCTTGTTTGACCATTCTTGCTCTCTGTTATCCTGATCTTGGCCTGACTATCGAATCTGTGTATCTATTCTATGATATCTTACACTTAGGTCTATGTCTTGTTTATTCTCTGTCTGCTTGCAGACAATTCATTTATCTGTCTTAGGCACTCTAAGGACCTGTACATGTTCTCTTACTGTTTCCTTTAGGTTTGTGTGTTAGGGTATCTCCATTCATGACAAATGTCAATTCAGAGTGTTATTATAATTCTACATTTTTGTTTGTTAATGAAAATAAAATGGAAAAAAACCCACTACCACTCCAGCTCGCTTTTGTGATGATAGTGCCTGCATTCCTCTGGCACAGTCTGTGTTGAACTGTTTTTGAGCTTGATTGTTTTGCCTAAACATGTGTATCTCCTTACTCGATTTACAAGATTTCCTGCTGTAGTCAATAGATCCCAATGTCTTTCTTTTAAGTTCATCTCACCGCTGCGTCAGACTAAAAGTTATTTCAGTTTAAGAAAACATGTTTTTCTCTTCATATCCATGCTCTTTAAGCAGATGCCTATTTTATCACAAATTAACATAGTATTTTATCAGCCTCTAGTCAGACTTTACTTTTCCCACTTGCAAGCTGGATGACTTTTTTGGCATTGAACTGCATGTGCTTTGTTTTTATCATTGACAATGTAGAAAAGACACTGAATCCAGCACGAAGGCTTAATAGACCTTCTCCAGCAATCTGACATCACTGCTGGCAGTGTATCCCTGTTTATTATTAACCCCTGCACAGTGAACTTGAGAACCCTCTGGCAGGCAGGGGATTAAAGGCATTGATCAAAGTACACGGCTAAATAATGTTTCTTGAAGTCAGGAGTATGGTGCTAATTATCTAAGCAGTTGAGAACCTCATTCTAGATAAAATAAGTAAATACATTAAAACCAAAAAGGTCATTATTAATCAGAGTACCTTGATGTTGTTATTATCATCCAATTAAATAAAAGAAAATTACAGTAATTTGCTTGTGTTTAGATCATTATGTATTTTCTTATTTTATCTCTTCCTAGCCTCTAGCCTCTCTTCAACCTTGGCCCATATATTCAGTTCTGCAGGCCTTATGATTTTCTATTTCTTAACTAGCAACGTGACACCAGTTTCCTGCATCACCTCCTATCTCTCTTTTTTCCCTTTCACAGCTTTTTTTTTTTTTTTTTTCCAGTGTCCTCCTACTAAGCTCTGGATTTTGTTCCAAATCACACACTCCTATCTCTCTCCCTCTCTTCAAAGGGAATTTATCATCAAAATACTGCGAAAGGACATGCAAATTTAAACAGGCTTAGACATAATTTAAGATTTGTGCTTGCTGTCAGAAAGTCTTTTGTTTGTTTGAAACGTTATTTTCTTGAATTAAGTGTGAAGTTCACTTTATAAAATAGCACAGAGCCCTATTCTAATCTTAATTTCAACTATATATTGTATTCACTAAACAGCTGGCAAAATATATAAATATTGAGTAATTAAGCACCAATAATGCTAAACAATACTCGGAGAATCATCAGAATTGTTGAGGTACTATCTAAAAATATTTTATACGGTTATCGTCAGGGGTTTTTGATACCGCACAATATTTTAGGATGAAAGAACACACCAAGCACTATAACTACTTACCTGCTCACATAGGTTGGCTGTGAATAGCCAGAAAAAAGTAAATAAACAGAGGGGAGTCAATAAGCTCATCTGTTTTATTTACTTTTTCTGGCTATTCTCAGCCAACCTGCACCTTTCACTTTCAGGCACATCTGCTGCTATTTATGACACCCATTCACCCCCCTCCCTTCATCCCCTTTTCTAACATCAGTTATTTTAAGTGTTAAACTCTATCAGATTGATTCAGTATTGCTTCAGACCTGAGGAAGAGTGGAAACTCTCGAAAGCCTTATAACCTTCAGCCTTATAACAATTGTACTACATGGCACGACCACTTTAAGGAGGAGATCAGGCACAGGCCCTTGTGATTTGCAGGTTCCTAAAGGGACACAAGTAGATCTAACATAGAAATGTGGAAGTTAGCCGGAAAATTAAGCTATCAGATTTTAGTGCAAAGCATGTACCGTATATACTCGAGTATAAGTCGAGTTTTTCAGCACATTTTTTGTGCTGAAAAACCCCCACTCTACTTATACTCGAGTCACTGTCTGTATTATGGCAACTTACATTGCCATAATACAGACTAGGACCACTGGGCTCATTACAAGCCCGGCGGTCCTGTTGGGGGCTGGCAGAGAGCTGTAACTTACCTTTCCTGCAGCTCCTGTCAGCTCCCTTCTCTCTCCTCCGGTAAGCTCCTCTGTCAGCAAACCTGCAAGTCTCGGGAAAGGTAAGTTACAGCTTTCTGCCAGTCCCCTCCTACACAGTGCACACCACTGGACCACCAGGGAATGAGAGCCCCCCTCCCTGGCCAGGTATCAAGCAGGGAGGGGGGACGAAAAAAAATAAATACAAATTTAAATAATAATAAAATATTAATAATATTTTAAAAAAATAAAATAAAAATAAAATATTAATATAACAAAAAAATTTAAAATAATAATAATAATTAAAAAAAATAATAAAAATGCCCACCCCCCACTAAGGCTCTGCATCACATACACAAACACACTCTGCATCACACACACACACTGCATTCATACACACACTGCATTCATACACACACACTGCACACATACACACACTGCATTCATACACACACACACTGCATTCATCATATACACACACTGTAAATAAATATTCAATTAATATAATTTTTTCGGGATATAATTTTATTTAGAAATTTACCAGTAGCTGCTGCATTTCCCATCCTAGTCTTATACTCGAGTCAATAAGTTTTCCCAGTTTTTTGGGGTAAAATTAGGGGTCTCGACTTATATTCGGGTCGACTTATAATCGAGTCTGTTTTCTGCAGGCCAACCAAAATGTGAGTTTCAATCATTACAACATTAACCGCACAACACTGAATATTGCCCTTGGTTGAAGTGACATTCTACATACAAGGATTACTCTGTGTGGTTTAACATGTTTATTTAGCTTTTGAAATTACTAGAATCCTAATTTACCAATTTCTGAAGTAAGCTGTCTGAGAAAAATATAATGCAGACATTTGGTTTGATTCCCATCTGCAGGGAACTATGCAACAAGTGAGCTCAGCTTGCTAGTATCTGTGGTTGATGATCTATTATTGACTTGCAAAGAAGTAACTCCCAGGTCACCAATTGCGTTTCGAAGCATCTGGAATTGTAAAGATGCTGAGCTTTGCAGCTTCTCAGTTGTGCTTATCCCAGAGGTGGAGGGAAAAAAAGAAAACCCTGAAATGCTTACGTTACTGGCACAAGTATTGTTTTGTATTCTAGCACATGGGTCTGAAATTAAACTTCTATTAAGAGGATAATGTGCAGACTGTCAACTTTGAGCAATTTGCATACCCATCATAAGCCCTTTCATTTTAAGGGTATGAAAACTGATTGGATAATTGGCTACTTACTCTGATTTAGCCTTTTTTTTTTTTTTTGGCCCTGTGTATTTTGTTTGATCTTAAGTTAATGCACAGGACAACTAGGAAAATGTCCTGAATTGATTTTGTAGTCTGCTACAATTGTCTCTTGTGACAACCAGTGAAAAAAAAGTATCCTTGCTACATTAGAAGTACACCTTGTAAATAAAAGCACATGGCTTAGATTTGTCCAAATCACTATTACATTAACATTTATTTAAATTATTAGATGGGTTGTCTAACCACCATAAGAAATATAATGTACCACAGCGGTTATGTTACCAGGTGTCCCCTGGGACTGGCCCACAGTAAATAGTACATTATTTTCAAATAGATTAGTTCAACAATTGCACATGACTTGGAAGACCATTGTAGTTGTTCACTAAAAAAATATTGTGGTTGTAAAGACAGCTGCCAAACACACCAAGATACACTGATCATCCACAACATTAAAACCACTTGCCTCATAACGTATAGGTCCTCCTAGTGTTGCCAAAAACAGCTCTGACTTGGCAAGGCATGGATTCCACAGGAACTCTAAACGTGTCCTGTGGTATCTGGTACCAAGATTTCCGCATCAGATCCTCTAGATGCTGCAAATTGTTCACTTAGAATATCAACAGAGAAGTCATCTAGCATCTAGTGATATCTAGTGTTCTCAAGTTTAAACCAGTGATTAGATGTGAAGGATTTTCAAATATAAATAGAACTACTTTTTGCAGATTATATTAATTTTCCCAATTATTCATAGACTTCTAAGATGGAGGGACTGTGCTTAAAATGTGTAACAGCTTTTGTGTCATTGTTCAAATTCTAATGAAGTATACGGATACAGTTAAACCAGAGTTTATAAATATATAGAGATCTGCAGCCACTTGCTTTATGTTTTGGTTAAATGTGTTTTTGAACCAATCAGTATGGAGATCTAAGCCTCTAGGTAGTGGCAGTAGAAAAATATAGAAGCAATACTCATGGGATTTGTCAAGAGTAAATGTGGAAACCATAAGTGAAAGTGAAAAATTAGTTCGAATGTATTATGTTTTAAAAGTAGTTTTAAAAAGTATCATCTTTGTTTATTCCAAATTTTCTTTTTTTATTTTGCACCTCCACAATTATGTACATTAACCAAATATTGTTAATCCACATGTATTTTACTTATTATTTTGCTTTGCTAAAATAAGTGTTGAAGGAGAAAAAAGTAAGGAAAAGGCACAGAAGTAAAAACTAGTAGAAAAGACAATCCAAAGTTTAAAAAAAAAAAAAAAGTAGCTTATTCAGCAACCCATTGATACGTTTCCTTAGTTATGTTCTGTGATGCTTGCCCACAATTGCGGCTCAATTTACTTTGAGTCCTATAGTATCATCCATTCTGCTCCTATAGACTAACTTCCATTTAGGACCAGATAATTGTAGAAATCATGCTAAAGGCAGGAATTTATTTTATTTTATTTTTTAATGACTCCGTTTTTATGTTGTTGTTTTTTTTAAAGTTATAAACAATGCATTAATAATGGGTAAGACACCGAGTCAGTGAATAATAACATATAAATAAAGAAAAACTAAACAAAAAAAAATATATAGATAACAAAACCAATAACAATAGCCTCAAAAACATGGATACCAGATTATAAGGGAAACTTCAGCTAGTGAATTAGTCACACTTGGGTCACAAATAAGTTTGGTACATTTCAAAATTTTTTAATCTAATCCCTGTATAAAATTGATTGGAAAGTCAAGTCTTTGGCATATTTGGGGATTTATTTTTTAATATCCAGCTTCTATGTGGCTTTGCTTGATAGGTAGTTATTGAAGATAATGGCGTATTTAGCAGTATAGAATCGGTAAACAATCAATAACATTTCTTTCTTGCAACAGTTATTAAAGCAATCACAGTCTAAATTTCACAAACCATTTATCTGACAAAAATGCTACGGAAGTCTGAAAATGTGTTGTTTTAAAACCGGGCCCAACTTGTGATTTCTTCATTAAAGAATACCTTCATACCCCAAGCAACCTATGCTCATTAGATCGGGCATACAATTTTATCTATACATTGTACTAGCAGTTTTGCTAGCAAATATATAAATTAGGAGAATTTTTTTTTTTAAAGTGTTCTCTCGCCCCTCCCCCCCAGCTGTCAGTCAATCCTGACAAGAGAGTGCAGAAAAGTCCTCCCATGGAAGGTCCCTCTGCTCTTCTCCCATCGCAACTACATTGCATACGCTGTGGTTGCTATAGAATCTCCCCTAGTGCTGATAATGAGTACAGGAACAGAGTGATGTGACGTCACTCCATTCTAATGCTGACGACAAAGCCAGCATGCTAATGTCACAGACGAGATCCCAAGCATGACAAATCAAAGAAGACTTGCGGAGGACGGCCAGGAAGTGTGTGGCATTGGGGCATTGAATTGATTTTTTTTTAAGCAGGAAGCAGGGCATCAGTGTCAGTGTCATTGGAGAAACTGCTTGCCTAAATACATGTAGCTATTTGTCAATAAAAATATTCTTGTTAGTTTGTGTATCTCTCTCAGCCATTCAGTGACTCCCCGTTTACTAAACTGGCTCTGAAAGAAACGTACCTTTTCCAATCCAGTTTAGTAAATGGGGCGTCAATGATTGTCTTAGAGCGTCAGTGGCCCGTTCTCTGTGCTTCCTGAATTGAGGCGGCACTTTGCGCTTCCTGAATCTGAAAATTCAGAAGCCGAATGTTGTCTAGGTGGAGTGGACATCGCCGCTGGAGACAACTTTGTGGTTAAACCATTGGAGAACGGTTTTACTCCTTGAGGTAAGAATGCCTCCAGGGACCTCCTGGCACCATAAAAACTCTATTTGATTACGTTGTTTTGGTGCCTGGAGTATCCGTTTAAGCAAGTTAACTTTTGATTGAAAATGTCAGGTCAGGGGAGGTGTGGCTAGAGCTGCATAAACAGAAACAAAAGTGATTTAAGTCATAAATAGCAGAAATTTGAACAGTCAGATTGCAGGGGCATGAACTATACACCAAAACAGCTTTGTTAGGCTAAACTTGTTTTTAATGCCTATAGTGTCCCTTTAACAACCTTTTTTTTTTTTTTTTTTTTTTTAAATACTCCATAGAAGATGACATTTTTTAAAATTCTTTTTCTTTAACATAACCTTATCGTATTTAGGCTGTCTTACTCTTTCCACCCATTGTTGTTATATTGGAAGATAATGGATTCCATTTAATTCAGGATATCACTGTATTTTGTATAGAACTTTCTTTTATTTAAGCTCAGTGTGCTGAGCCTAACACTATTAAACAGAGCAATGTGCAGTGTTTCTGTGTGAAAGGAAAAGGAGATGGGACTAAAGAGATCTGGCTTTAACCAGTTAAAGGAATGACCTGCTGTTTATACTTTCTGGATGCAAGACTCACCCTGTTAGTTAGAATGGTTTCCTTTCCAAAAATGAATCTTGCTTACTGTATATGCAGTGATCTGCAGAACATAGCGATTTTGGCTTATAAGCAGTTCAACATGCTAAATGTCATTGAACCCTTCCTCTTTCCAAATTACAATTGTCTGGTGTGTCTTAAAGGGACACTGTGGTCACCAAAACAAGTTTAGCTTAATGAAGCAGATTTCTTTATAGATCATGCCGCTGAAGTTTCAATTCACTGCTGTTTAGGAGTTAAATCACTTTTGTTTCTGTTTATGCAGCCCTAGCCACATCTTTCCTGGCTGTGACGGACACAGCCTGCATGAAAACAAAATGGTTTCATTTTCAATCAGATGTTACTTTAGAAGTTTTGATCTCCTGCTCTGTAAATTGAACTTTAATCAAAACCAAAGGCTCCTGCATGGTCTTGCAAGCTATTAACAGAGCAGGAGTAAAAAAAACCCCCAAATGATACAGAATTTGTAATAAAGAAAGTATAAACATTAGATGACTGTTTACAGCAAGTCACATGCAGTGATTTAACTCCTACATGGCAGATGTAGCAGAGATGCAATATTGCCCAGGTTATCTCCGCTTATAATCCAAGTGAGGCTCAGGAACAAGTAAATGGCAAATCCACAGGCAAGGTTTCCAGCAGGCAAAATAACAGCAGTATCCCAACAGCAATCCCAATAACTGGATGACACACAGTTTCAGGAGCAGAACTGAAAGCTTTATTCCACACTGGCCTTTTAAAGCATGCTCCCATGCAAGGGAGGGATTTACAGTCATTAGTACAGTAGCCAATCCTGTCCTGGTAACCTCCCACACATCTCCTCCCCTCAGCCTGCATCATAATCCCCTTATCCAGTACAGCAATTCCCCCCGTTTCTGGATGTAACCCTAAACGTAGGGTTACCTCCGTAAATCATACATCCCCTGGTAGCCCTGATCTGGGTGAACAACATATCCAAAAATCACCCAGATCAGACCAGGGGTTCGGGAAATTTATGGAGGGAATAAAATGACCGACCGCACTGAGTGAAGCAGCCGAATGCGGTTCCATGTGAATGGGCCCTGCGGTCGGTCCTGGAGTCAGGGAATGAATGGCACGAAAACCTCTAGCTATAGAGGCAAGGGAGGGTTCGCCTGAATCCCCTCGTACGGTTCTTTCTGTCTACCGCACGAGGGGCCGTTCGGTAGTTAGGAACCGAACGGACCGGGCTTGTGGAGGTTTCAGCGGTGTCCGCCTAGTCGAGTGTCCGATTTGAGTTCCAGACACTCGACGGCAAAACACCGCTGTTCGCCACCACGTGTTCGTTTGTCGAATGGCGGCCACCCCCGAGAACAAAGGACGGCTACTTAACTTGTCAATTACCCGTTCGCAACAATGTTGTAACGGGTAATTGAGGACACACTTCACACAGGGGAGGTCTGATTGTTCGGTAGTTTCATTCCCGTAGTTTATTCGAATGATTCTACCGAACAATCAGAGGAATACATTTCTTTTAAACACATATAAAACCAGCAGTTTACACAAATGCAACTATTCACATGACATTTGCAGGACAGCCCAGTGCCCTCCGCTACAGCAGACAATTGAGCCGTGAGACTGCAGCGGCATGATCTATACACTGTGTGTGCAGCTCAGGGTGTCTTATAAAGTTGTGACTAAGCCTGTAAAAGTTAATGAGGACTTGAAAAATACATTCAAATGGTTTAACGTCATTTTTGTTTGTCCATGCAGTTTCGATCGTGGACGTTTCTGAACATTTAGAAATATTTTATTTATGTGTGTATTTTTTACTGCTAGAGACTGCTGTCTGTTTAGTACAATAGCCTTGACTAGAGAATAGGAACAGCCCTTAGAAAACTGCCTAAATGTTCTGTTTTTTGGAGAGGTATTGCTAAGTATAAAACTTTCTGGGACTTTAGTCCATATGAAAACTTGATGGCCTATCCCTCAAGGCTGAATCCTATGCAATTCCCCAACCTTTATTCCCTGCTTTCTAATATCTCACCCCATTCTTGTCATTTAATTCCATTATCTCTCATATCCTCCTTGTATTTCTCTTGCTCTCTATCTCCATAAAATCCAAATGTCACTCTCTACCTATCTCCCATTAAACCCTTTGTTTATCTTATAAAACCCTGTTTGTCCCTCTCCTTATCTCCCAAATGCTATTACTAATTACACTAGTCTTGTGGCTTGTTGGAATATACTAAAACTGTGGTGTACTGTTTTGATAAACTGCCGCCTCATATAAAATGAAAGAAGCACTAGTATTCTTCCACTTGAAGAGATCTGGAGCTAAGGAACCCCATATCTGGGGCTTAGGCCCTAGAAACTCCTCCTTTCAACACCTATATAGCCCATTGGAGTCCCTTAAAGGAACACTAAAGGGTCAGGAATGCATTTGTGTATTCCTGACCCTATAGTGTTAAAACATTTTGATTATTACTAATGATGTAAGGAGCCAATAATGAGTGCACAATAAATTAATATGTAGGTTTAAAACAAACTTTTTTTCCTGTAAGTAATGTACTTCGAGGCAAGTGTGATCGCCTAAATAACAAAATTGAGCAAAAGTACACTGCCTTTAGTAAATTGTTCACAGTGCCGCTTTTGTTTAACATTACTTAAAATTATCATAAACAGAACTCACAAAGGGCATGATTTTGTGCGACATGGAAGGAAAATTGTGTTGATTTCACTCCCACAGATGATAATCAGCGTACGGAGAGACATACATCTGTATAGAAGATGGTCTTCAATTTAGAGTGTCTATTCTGAAATGCCCATGTTGAGGCAGTTGTAGACAACTTTGATTGTGAAACAGTTTTTTGTAGAACAAAATCTATTACATGTGATTTTAATCTCTTCTTTAGGGAAAATGACTTCAGTTGAAAATCTTTTTCCTGTGCTTAAACAAATTCTGTGGTTGGAACTAATCAGTTTTTTTCAAAGATTCAAAAGATTGACAAATTTGAATGATATAAATAACAAAAACATCAATATGGGCATCCTTCCATCAATCCATCCAGTGTGTGAGTTTACGTTTAAATTCATTAGAATATAGCCTTGCAGCCGTAGATTTATGTTGGTGTCTACGGGCCATTAAGAAAACCGCTAAAGACTCTCAAGAAGAGTAAATAGTGAAATAACCAATAATATCCACCAGCAAATATAATTATTGAAAAGTATGCTTTATTAGATAGGATATGTGTAAGGAAACCAAGTATATTTAAAACTCATTCGGTAGTTTCCTCCTGAACCACCAGAGCCTTAGTGATTATAGCCCTCCGTTCGGTAGATAGATGTAGCGGTACTTACCCTTTCCAGGGGCCGGCCGGGGTCCTCTGTTCGAGCCGCGCGCGGTCCTGCTGCTGCACGAGCCGCGCGCGGCTCATCCGACGGCTGTGACTGGAAAGCGGTCACGTGTTCCACCTAACTTTAAGAGCGCGCCGCGGGTATCGGGCGCGCTCTTAAAGGGACAGTGGGTGCCTAAATTGGAAAAGGCATCCCATTGGTCCCTGTCATGCCACACTCCCCATACACTTACCTTTTGGGGGCGTGGATGTGACAGGGACCAATCAAATTAGATGTTTAGGTATTTATACTCACCTTCTTCCCTCTGTTCCTTGCCCTATCGTGGTTTCTGTATCAGTTCCCTTTAGCGCTTGTTGTGTTCAGTTGTGTTTCTCCGTATTGACCTTGGCTTTGTTTCTGACTACGTTTTCTCTTTATCCTTCTGTTCTGGTTGTCGGCTTGTTGTTTACTGTGTACCAGACCCCGGCTTGTCCTAGTTTACGCTGTCTCTCTGTGCCCTTGATTTCGGATTGTTCCTGACTCTGTCTCCTCTCATATACGTCGAGTCCGGCCATTCTAAGGTCCGGTAGACGTATCTCTCCTCTGTGTTGTCTTTTGTTTAGCTGAATCCTGCGTGTTGGGGTATATTCTCGTTACAATAGAGTAGACGAATGCTATAGTAATTCCAATAGCTTCACAAGATGATTCCCTTAGTGAAACACACGAATCCCCAAACATCAGTCGAAGTCAAGAAGAAGGGTACAAAATAAACTGGCTTTTAATGGGTGCACACAAACATTTATGCAAGTCCCCATGCAAGGGGACAGCCCTCAAGGAGGGACAAACATTACCCAATCACATACTGTAAAAACATAACACACACCCACAGTTCCCTCCCCTAGCTCTGGAGATGTCTGATAAAAGAATAACTTAATTATCTCCAGGCTGAAAAATCACTTTTTTTCCCCAATAACTGGAACACCGCTTTATACTTGGGGTATCACCACAAATGACATGTCCCCTGATAGCCCTGATCTGGGTGACCAACATATCCGAATTTCACACAGATCGGTTCAGGAGTTCGCAAAAACTATGGAGGTCTTCTGTGACCGGCTCACCCTGGGTTTTGCTGGTCACTTTAGAAATAGGAGAAAACCGAACAAACTACCGAATGGATTCCCCTGGCTCTTAGCAGCGATTGTTCCCCTCTGTCGAATGCACCAAAATAGCGCTCTTCTAGCTATTCGGTAAGTGGAGTTCCAGCGTTCGTCTGTTTGGGACCGGTGTTTGGAAAGTCGAGTGTCCGATTTCAGTTCCATACACTCGACGACCAAGTCCCGCTGCCTTTGTTCACATGAACAAAGATGGCCGCGGTTTTCTCTGCCACGTGGTGTTCGGTAGTACGAACGCTGGCCGCACAGAGAGAGGCCTCAATTGAAGTAGTCTTTGATGCTTAATGAGCCAGGGGGGTGGTCTTTGTTCGGTAGGTACATCTACCGAATGCAAATAGGCAGAAATAGTGTACAAAAGGGGAATTTCTTCACAATATTATTATTCTCAAAACCGGAGACAGCATGTTTTTAGGCCACAATAGTAGAACTGGAATGTAAAAAGACCTTCTGGCTCACCTATTTTTGAGAGAAAAACAAGTAGCAAAATAGGTGAGAATGGACAACAGCTCAATTAGCCTGCCCTTTGGTGGGTCCCCGTTCAGATCTCAAGCTGGTTTTAG